GTTCACTGTTTGTTGCTATGGATATAATGGAGACAATTCCCCTTTGTGAAATGGTTAGAAGTCAGACTCGGCCACCACCACCTTCACATTCCACCATCTCCTTACACATCTCCCAAAGTCTCATCTGTCAACCCATCTCCAGTTTATTTGTAGGTGTAGCTGCCACAGGTGTTGCTAGAGCAGGTAGTGTCCTACACTGTCTTTCTTTTCAGTGGCACCAGAAGATCTATCTCTGTGGCTAAAACAGTTCAGTTTATTGATGAGACCAGCCAGTCCTTTTTTATATTGTTGATACCAGCCAGTCTCCTTTTAGAATGGTAAATAGCCAATCCCCTTATGGATAGGCTGACACATCCTATTTGCATATTCCCACTCGTCTTCACAGCAAAGTAAAAAAAAAAAAATGGCTAGCCGAAGTCATATTGAAAGATAAATGCTACAAAGCAACAATGTTGTTATCATCTACATACTGCAGATTGTTGACAGGACAGAGTAAAACTGCCTTATAGATTATCCAAGGCTGTAAATCTTTATGAAAATAGTCTGCCAATGCATTCTTCCAAGGGACAGCTGGTGGGAGATCAAACTGCCAGACTTTTCAGTTTGAAGTTGACCACTTTAACCACTGTACTACAAGGAGTCCTTTCCTTATATAATACATAGTAAATATTGATAGATGTATGTTACATAAGCAATAGTTCTTCACTGGAGTTCAAAAATTTTTAAACTATCTAAAAGCCCCCCGCCCCCAGGTCAAAAAGCTCGGCTTGAAAATAGTAATGGGTTCTCTGTTCATCACTTCTTTTTTTTTTATAAAAAAAAAACAAAAACAAAACAAACCAAACACCAATCCACAAAACTGTGGCCAATTTTATTGAAGAAAAATAATACGTGATTTATTTTTCACCAGTCTGTTTTGGCTTCTAATGATATCAGAATCACCTGGATCAAGGATAGCCAAGATGCATACTCTAGTATTTTCTGTGTGCTGTGCCCAGTTCACGATTATTGTTGTGGTGATGGACACCAATTTTGGCCAACATGGTGTAGTACTCAATTTCAGATTTCCTCAAGGTTGGGCAGTTGGTGAGGATGACCAATTTAGCTTTTCCTTGCCTGATCATCTTCAGATTCCGCTTGTACCCCAGCACCTATTTCCTACTTTTCATGACAAGTTGGAGCCTTAGAGTTGATTGACCCCAGGGACTTTTTCACAGCTACCATCCTTTCCCGTTAGGTGCTGGCCAGCCCTCCACCTACAGCTGTCACAAGATGGATGACTAATTACTGTAGTCTATTTTAAGAGGTTTTTCTGAGGTAGTTGTTGTTGTTAAGTGTGGTTGAGTCACAGGCGACTCATAGTGACGCTATGGAGGAGAGTCCTCAACGCTGGGAATTTTTAGAAACTATAATAGATGAGTTTCTTTTGCTCTTTGGAAAAAAGAAGTAAGGCTTTCATCCAGACATTTACTTAAGATAATTTAATTCCTTCATTTACTCTCTTTGTTGCTTCATTTGGTGGAATGTGATAAAATGTATCTAATATTTGTTGAAGTTCTACTGTTTAGTTAGTGATTTGCCTGTCATGCATGATAGCAGTGTAGAAGATAAAAATCCTCTGCCCCAAGGCATACTATATATATATATAACGGTGTTTTTATCATACACATCATGATTTTTAGTGTTGATAACAACTGTAAGAGCTATGTATACTTTCTTCTTCATATTTGTAAAATGGAATTCCAAAACAGTGCTATTTTCATCTGTCACATTTATTTCAGATTATCAGCCTTCTTCAAATCTGAGGCTTGACTGTACTTTATCTTCCTGACCAGAGTATTGTTTTCCTACTTATTAGAGATGAGAATTCCTTCAATGCCACAAATCTTACTGTCTTCTTTATAGTTTTAACTGTTATGTAACCTCTTTTTCTTAATTTCTATTCTTTCTGCTCTGTCCATCTCAGCAGTCTAGTTCTATCACTTCAGCAAAACTACTAATAATAAAATTGCTAGAAACCTCTATTCATTGAATTCAATGACTTTCTCCATTTTGTTTGTCTTTTCTTGCTGCCAATAATTTGATTACTTTTCTGAACTTTTATTGTACTATCAACTCTTTTTTTAAAAAAAAAAATAGATATTTATTCTCTGGTAGCTCCTGGCTTTCCTTTTTATGCCTTTTAAATGTTGATGCTTATTAGAAACCTTTTCTTTCTTAAATTGGCTATTCCTTTAATTGTATTTTTCAGATAATTTTCCCTCTTTAATGGACTTCTTTTCATATTTTTATACCAGTAATTCCTAAACCTTCATATCTAAAGCCTATAAATCTACATACTTCTTCACCTCTTGTATTTCACTAATTAAGACAGACTTAAACTCAAAGTAAAACTCATTTTAAGGTTGATAAATTTATGCCTATGGAGAGTTCTTTATTTCAGTAAATAATTGCCATACAAATAATTGCTCATGAGAAGTCTGGTTTCCTCCTTGACTTATTACTTGAACTTTCAAAACTATCTTTTTACCAATAATTATATAGATTGTTATGTAGATAATTATTCCAGGTATAGGGAGATCCTGTGGCCTAGTAGGTAGGGGAGTGATCTGCCAACTCAAAGGTGACTGATTTGAATTTACCACATGCTGCTCAAGGGAAAGATGACAGTCTCTTCGTGTGATTTACAGCTTCTGAAAACCTACTGGATAGTCAACAATGAGTTATTTCTGACTCGATGGCAATGCCTTTGACTTTTTAAACTTTTATTTTAAATGTATTCTAAGCTGTCCATTTCTTCTGGACAACTTTGAGTAAGTTTTCCAAATTTTCATAATGGGGTGGCAGAGTTGGGGTTCAAATACAGCCAGTGGCTCCAGAGTCTTATTCTTAACCATTATTCCAAGTAGCCTATGTGGTACTTGTCATTTTTATGTTTTTCTTGGGAGAAGTTTAAGGAAAAGTACTTAATTCCTTCTGAGTTTGAGTTAGATTCATTTCTCTTTTCTGTAAGTGAAGATAGTGAAATGTAGCATGCAGTTACAAAATACATAAAGGAAAATTTCTGATAACTCCTGGGATTCAAGAAATCTCATTCCATCTGTCTGTCTATTATTTTTTCCCCTCTAGTTTTTAAATGAAAAGTTTAGTGATATTTGGTTATATTTTGTGAGTTCAACCATTCTTGGTTTTGCTGAGTTGTACTTCCTTCATTGACATAAACTCATTGGCCACCAAAGTACCTATCTAATCTTGGAGTTGCTTTTGTCAGTTTGATCTCAGCTCACTCTAAAAGAGCATAATACTCAAAGCATACCTTTTTTTTTTTTTTTTAACTATTTAAGCTGAATGGTCATTCAGTTTTAAAAAGACATTATGGGATATTTTTGGTTTATAAGATTCTTCTGTGGTATTTGAGTCTTCTATTATTAAAAATATTTTTTAATTATTTCTATGTATTGTAAGTCAGTGAGTTGTACTTGTTATAAATGTGGGCCTGTTAGAAAATTTTATTTTGATGATTGAGTCCACAGGTATTTAGTAATCTCGTGTTATACTTAAATACGTTCATACCTGCGATATGACAGTTGCTTCTGCTTTAAAGTACTCCATATTACAGTTGCGTTATGCTTTTTATATATTTGAAAATAATCATAGCAAAATTAATTGGTCATACTGATAGAAAAAATCAGAACTGCACCCTTTACACATTGCCATTGCTGTTTCTTATTTGAAGAGCACAGCAGTACAATGGGACAAAAATTTTACCTTATTCATGAGGTTCTATGTATGTCTTTTGTCAAGTCTTGATCCTTTAGTTTCTAGACAAATGAGACATTCAGTAGTAAATAGACAGATAAATTATTCATTTCCATTTGTCGTATCAGAATTATTTTTTTTCTTAGTTTCTTTATTGTAAGTGCAGCCAGGAAATTAAAAGATGTATTGCGATGGGAAAGTCTGCTGTTAGGGACCTCTCCAAAGTGCTGAAGAGCAATGGTGTCTCTCTGGAGACTAACGTGCATCTCATACAGGCCATGGTCTTTGCAATCACTTGTTATGTGTCAGAAAGTTGGACAGTGACTAGGGAGGATAGAAGGAGAATTGATGCCTTTGAGCTGTGGTGCTGGAGATGAGTATTGAGAATACCATGGACTGCTAAGAAAACAAACAGCTTCATCCTGGAGAAGGTTAAACCGGGCTGCTCCTTGGAGGCAGGGTTTCTGAGGTTTTGTCTGACATACTTTGAACATGTTGTAAGGAGGGACCGATCCTTGGAGAGGGACATCATACCTGGTAGGGTGGAGGGACAGCACAGGAGAGGAAGGCCGTCTATGAGGCGGATTGATTCAGTGACTGGGGTAATCGGGATGAGAAATGAACAGGACAGGTAGAGACTTATATATGAAGAGTACTGAATACCCTATCCTATGGACAAACAAAAAGAATAAATCAGTCAGTCTTACAGGATATGCAACCAGCGTGCATCTGAGAAGCAAAGATTATGAAACTTCATCTCATATACTTTACACGTCTTTTCAGGAGAGATCAGTTTTTGGAAGAAAGATATCATACTGGGAAAGGTGGAGGGCCAGCCAAAGAGAGGAAGACACTTAATAAGATGGATTGACAGAGTGACTGTGACAGTGGGCTGGAGCATGTCAGAGATCACGAAGATTGTTCAAGATAGGACAAGGTTCAGATCTGTTGTTCATTGTTACTATGAGTAGTAGTTGCTTTGATGGCACTTACCAACGGCAGCAATATATATAGAGAAAATTTAAGTATGAACTTCTAAATTAACAACTAAATGATTTTTTCGAGTGATATGATAAAAATTTATAAGAAGTGAGTTAAAGTGAGAATAACTCATTCAAAATGAAATGAAACTAATATTTGAGTTACATTTTGGTATTTATAACTTTTAGTATGTTTTTGAATCACTAATTGTAATCTTAGGGTTACCATTTAAATTCTGATCTCTTTAATTTTTCCCCCAGGTGGTATCATGGAAAACTTGATAGAACTATAGCAGAAGAACGCCTCAGACAAGCAGGAAAACCTGGAAGTTATCTTATAAGAGAGAGTGATCGGAGACCAGGGTCCTTTGTACTTTCATTTCTTAGCCAGACAAATGTTGTCAACCATTTTAGGTAAGTCTCCATTGCTATTTACAAAGTTACATGGTTTAGTTCTTTTGATGTAGTGCTTTCATTAAAGCATCTACTTTCATAAATGTGAATGAAGCATAAAAGTAGCATTTAAACAACAGAGAAGTAAGTTTTAATTAAATAAATATCAGTGGTTTAATAGTAGATGTTCTCTATGTTTATATGTGTTTCTAAAAATGGTGTTCTCATTGGATTCTGTTTTGCACTCAATATATAGAGTGGAAAAGCTGAAATAAAGGAAATGCATAATTTTAGACCATGGAGTTAGAGGGAACTATTTAAAAGGCATGATGTGTTGTCTTTAATTTATTCTAGCTTTACTTCTCTGAAAGGCTTTGCAAATGTTCATTTCAATTCAATAGTAATGTAGGTCATCTGGTGTATATAACAAAGTGTGTACAAAAATAGTATCCTCTTTGATTTCTGTGTAAAAAAATTACAAGTGTCATTTAGTGCTTATAGTTTTAATGATAAAGTTTGTATATTTTTTATTTTTAGATCTAAAAATAAGCTTATAGAAAGCTATCATATTACATGTAGTATATGCAGTTATTGTTATATTTGTATGAATATTTCAGAAGATATTTTAGCTACTCTTAACCAGATAAAAAGGATTCAAAGTATGAATTGTGCTTTAATATGGAAAATGATTAAGGTATAGGAAAGTGAATTTTAACATATTTTAATGAATTTTATAGTCAAGATTTATAGTTTGATGTGTATGCCATTGCAAATACATCAAAAACAAAGAAAACACTACTGTCTAGTCAATTCCACCTCATAGTAACCCTCCATTGTGTTTTTGAGACTGTAAGTCTTTATAGGAGGACATTGCACATCTTACTTCTGCAATCATGGGTGGATTCGAACTACTGTCTTCTTGGTTAGCAGCCTGATACACTAATTGCTGTGCCTCTGGAGCTTTACCAGATGCATCCATATCTGTATATCTTTATCTGTCTCTCTATATAGATATTTCTATCTCTGTTTATCTAAAGAGAATATATACCTAAGGGCAATAAACTCAGATAAACTTGCATATGAAGAAGTGAATATTTTGATGATACTATTAAAGGAAAATAATATGAGTTATGGATTAATTTTTTCTTATGAATTATTGATCTTTTGCATTTGCTAAAAAGATTTGTGTTACACTATATTTTCCCCCCCCCGTACAAACAGGATCATTGCAATGTGTGGAGATTACTACATTGGTGGAAGACGTTTTTCTTCACTATCAGACCTAATAGGCTATTATAGTCATGTTTCTTGTTTACTTAAAGGAGAAAAATTACTTTATCCAGTTGCACCACCAGAGGCAAGTAAAACCTGTATAAAAATATCTTTTAAAGCTTAAATGTTTCTGTATGTCTAGCTCTTACTCACCTACTTGTGATATTTATTATCATTCCAAAAAATATTTGCTGTA